AAAAGTCGTTCAAGTATTGACATTGACTTATGACTTATCAAATACATCGAAAAGAAAAAAAAATTAAAATATATTTTCAAATATTGTTGACTTTAAAAAATTTTTTTTTCCAAATTTTTTTTTTAATTTATATGCGTTACAGGAATGACTTTTTTTTTATTATTCTTAACTTGGTATCTTTACGAGGTACAACTTTCATAGCTACATTTTTACGAGATCACCTTACCTTGAATGAAATTAGTACATTTACATTTTTAAGACGGTACTATCTGTTTTCCCTTTTTTTTCGCTAATAATAAAAAAAAAAATATAATAATTTGTCTTGTATTATTAAATTTATAATTTCGAGAATTAAATCTTTTCGCAAAAAAAAAAAATTTCTTCCTTTTTCTGATAATAAAAAAAAATATAATTTTTTATTACTGAATAAAAAAATAATTTCTTATTATTATTATTTGTATAATTTCGTAAAATAGAGAAATAAAAATGATGTAATTATAAGATAGCGTTAATTATAAATAAATATAATACCCTCTCTAATATTCTATTCAAACATTTGTCTTTACTATTCTGTGATTAGTCAGCGCAAATACAACAAATGTAAATAGTAGAGAGAAAAAAAAAAATAAAATAATTTCCATAAACAATTTTGCATTAAATAATTAAAACTATTATTATCATTACAAATAGAAGCGGTATTTATTATTATTGTTTTCTAAAGGATTAATTTACAGCTATATATCATTAAAAGAGAGAAAATCAGAGAAGTCCCAACGAGAAATAAATTTGAGTGAGAAGATGTAATTATTATCAAGTGACTAAAGAGAGACTAATGGTTTAAATGATTATCTGGAACGTATATAAAAGGGAATAAGAGAAAGGTAGAGAGGGTGGAGAAGTGAGGGGGGGGGGAAAGGAGAAGACAAGTGGATAGAGTGAAAGGAAGGCAATGGGAAGAATGGTATCGAGTAAAAGACTTTGAATAGTACCCAAGAAGATGAATGCGAGATACGTCTAGGGAAAAGGGACGAGGACAGGACTTAGTTCCTTTGGTTAGTGGTAGCGGATCGTTCGAGTCAGACGGTAAATTCTGAATATCGCGCTTTCCATCTGACTGCCTCTTGGAACACATTGCTGAGTTTGGTACTTACGGCACGTATTCTCTACCTCAAACTATAGGACGCAATCTACTTCGTACGACTAATTTATCATTGTCTGCCTATATATATATATATATATATATATATATACATATATATATATATATTATACATATATATATGTAGCTATGTTGAGAGAGAGAGAGCGTGCTGGCACTGATTTCGATGGCATTCATGCCTCGCAATTATATCCCTTGAGCCATGTCCTAAGGCATCACAATGATATCATTATATATCAAACTTTTCATATTATTATCGGTCATTATTAGCTATTAATCCTATGCAAATAAACTCTACACAAGAGAATTCAATAAGACACCCAAACAAAAATTTCAGTATTATACCAGAGTTAACTACTGGCGCAGTACTGTTTCAGTATTGGTTGCCGAGGCTCGGCAGTCTGTACTGAACCAGTACTGGTATTTTCATTGTATCAGTACTGGTGCAGTACCACCCTCCCACTACTGGAAAACCAGTACTGAGCCGATATTGAGCCAGTATTGGCTCAAATAGATTTTATTTTTGATTAATACTACTCTCTTAATTTGAATCAGTGAAATAGCTAGAAGTCGGTTACTGAATCATTTAGTGAAATTTTCACTGAAAATTAGTCTGATTTCCTGTGAAAATTTTACTAAATGAATCAATCAATCTGTTTTATCGGTAATGGGTAAAACAGATTGACTGATTCATTTAGTAAAATTTTCACTGGAAATCAGTGATATATGACTGATTTTCAGTGAAAATTTCACTAAATGATTCAGTAACCGACTTCTAGCTATTTCACCAGTGAAATTTCACTGATTCAAATTAAAAGAGTAGTTTACAAAAAGTTCTAGAGTGAACCTGATAAATCTTTTTGTTTAAATATTTTGTTTATAAAAATTTATTCACTTTGATTTTATTTTTGAAAATTAAAAGATATTTTATTTTGCTTTTTTGTGGATAAAATTATTATTTAAATAAAAAGTTTCCTGAGACTAATTCCAAAATATTTTGCAAGTTTTTTTTTTTTTTTTATTGTTTTCAGATATGCAATAAACCAAAAAAAAAAAAATTTTAAACGATCAAATTGAAAATAAATAAAATTTTTTATAAAAAAAATTAATAATTTTTAAAATAAAATTTTTAAAAAATTTTCTTGACAACACTTGTTAAAAATTAAAAAAAACAACTTTTATTTTCTTAAAAAAGTTTTTCAAAAATTTATTTTGATGCAAATAATTAAAGTGAATAATAAAATAATTAAATAGCTAATTGTATTATTATATAAATTATAATTATTTTATAAATATTTTTATTTTTACTGAACTGTTTTTATATATTATAAAAACTTTGGTTTTATAATAAACATATTTTTATATTTATTTTTTGATTTTTTAAAATAATAATTTGCAATATATATTATACTTAATAAGGAATAAAAATTCTTGGTGTTTTCGATTTTATATATAATAAAATATTAATTAGTTAGTTGACTAATTTAATTAATATTTAATTTGTGTTGGGTTACTAAAAATTTCATACACTTTTTCCTAAAAAAAAAGTATACTGCCTGGTGCAGAAATTTCACTATTGCAGTGAAACTTAACTTTGTTACAGTTAAAGCTTTCTTTTCGTATACAATAAATTACAAAACTACCAGTACTCAGCCAGTACTGAACCAGTAGTGGTTACCAGTATTGGTGCCAACTCTGGCAGCCAATACTGGTAAAATGTTATCATCCCAAAGTTATGCCAACTGTGGTGAGCAATACTGGGTGCCAGTACTGCGCCAGTACTGCGCCCTTAGTAAATTTTTGATTAGGCAGTATAAATAAAGAAATTTCAAATATAAAGAAAAGAACGTGTAGTTAAATATTACATTGTAAAAACTCTATACAATAAACTATAAATTAGAAAATTCTCACCGTAAACGAGTAAACTCTACACATTAATGTAAAAATAAATAATTTTTTTTTTTTCAATAACTTTATAGAAATAAATTCTATACAATGATTGTTATAAAAATAATTGTTATTGTCACAGAAAATTAAAAGGCATTAAAATAAGCTGCAACGTTTATTATTTTAATCCAATTTTGCTCATTTTAATACCAAAATGGATTAATATAAGCAAAATTGGATTAAAATAATAAGCGTTGCAGCTTATTTTAATGACTTTTAATTTAATATGGTAACGGTTACTATATGGAAACTGTTTTTATGGTAACAATTTGCCATGATAACGGTTACTATATAGAAATTGTTTTTATAGTAACGATTGTTATGAAAACGATTTTTTAATAAAAATAAATAAATTCTATAAACATTTAAAATTCTGCACATAATGAAATTTAACAGAAGAAAACTCTATACATGGAAATCATAGACAATTGTCAATATATTTTCAATATGTAGAGTTTTCTTCTGTTAAATTTAATTATGTGCAGCATTTATAATATGTAGAGTTTAAAAAATCGTTAAATCGTGTAGGAATTTTATAGTCCAAAATGAGGATATGATAATTTTTAAATGTAGAGTTTAAATTTTGTAGAAGTTTTTAAAAAAATGTAATTAATTTTTTTTATTATTTATTTATTTATTTTTTATTTTTTTTATTTTTTTTTTTATTTTTTTTTTATTTTTTATTTTAATATTTACCTTTTTATACTAAACTGTAGAGTTCACAGTTTACGGTGTAGAGTTTTATTTTCTCCTTATTTTCGTTACTTTCGTAGCTGTTTTTTTTTTAATTATTTTTCAAAAAAACTAATTTATTAATAATTTTATGAGTCGCTTTTTGACATAAAAGTATTTTCGAGTAGTCGATGCACCTGTGCGCTACGTTTAAAGTGCGAGAAATTGGTTTTAAAGCCACGTTCTTCGTATTGTGCTGCACGATATCGACAGAATGTATTGCCTCGATATGTTACATTTGTATGTGGTTGTTACTGGTACTAAACATACAAAAAAACCACTGTGGACAGACACCGCGGCGACACTGTCTGTTCGTTTTTTTTTTTTATAATGATAATTTTTAATTACCTTATACTCTCTAAATCTGAATTAGTAAAAATGTTTACTAATTTAAATTAGCAACTCACTTTTTGCTTTAGAATTAGTTAAATTTTACTAATTGTTAGTAAAAGTTACTAATAATTAGTAACATTTTCCTAATTCAGAAGCAAGAAGTGAGTCACTAATTTAAATTAGTAAATATTTTTACTAATTCAGATTTAGAGAGTATATATTTTATTTTTATATATAATTATTATAATTATAAAATTTTAATTATTTTTAAATGTTAAATATTTATTTTTTAATTTACGGACAGAAAATATAGTACAATTATAGAAATATTATAGTAATATATTATTATATATTGTAATATAAAATAATAACTATAATTATAGTAATATTATAACAAAATTTCTAGGAAAATTATAATTTTCTTCTTAATTTTAAAGGAAAAATTTTGTGTAATTATTTTACAGGTGAAAATAAACATAAAGTATGCAATGAAACACGAGCTTGCTGTTTTAATTCAAAAAATTTTATGTTTATTGTCGCCTGTTAAAATTTTACTTTTATTTGTTATACGAGCAACAAAAAAAAATGAGATAACTTATAATTATTATTTTCTTTTTTCATGTCTTTTATAATAATAAATAATAACTACTATTTGTCCATTTGTACTATAAATAAATAGTAGTAATTATAATAATTATGATAATAATAAAAATAATAATTTTTGATTTATGCTTTTTGAATAAAAAATAAAATAGTAATAACAATAATCGAAAATAAGTAATTAAAAAAATGAATTTTTTTTTTTCCTGGTAAATATGTAGGTACTTACCGCATTTTCCAGGAAAAACAACAGTAATATTGATCCCCTGAATGCAAGCAACTTTATTCAAGTGACACAAACTTGCATAATCAACTCCATCTGAACCACAAACAGGACCAGAACCTTCGTGATCTCCCAAGTTTGGACATGATTCTATACACTTACACTCAGCTTCAGTACCATCTCTACTTCTAACACACTGAGCACCTTGCGTACAATTTAATTTTGCACAAGGATCCTTTGTTTCTGCAACACAAAAAAAAAAAAAATAAAATTCATTAACATATAAAAATTTAAATCCATATAAAAAAATTCTATTGTTTTCATTTTAATTCCATTGAATTTGAATGTTTTGTATTTTTTTTTTTGTTTGTTAAATAATATATATATTATTAAATATGTTGTTTTTTTTCAAAATTCCTCCATATGTTATATGATATTTTGAAAAAAAAAAAAAAAAAATTATATATGAACTAGCAGTGTAAAATTTTTTTTTTTTTTTTTTGTTATCGGAAGCGCAAAATTGTGAAATCGCGCACGAGAATGTTTACGTGCCTTGGTTTTTGAGCGAGAGTGGCGGCAGATTTGAATCGAATGAATGAAAACAAAACAAAAGGGTGGGGGGGGGAGAGTTAAAACCAATGCCGTAATCAATTGTGTATTGCCGAGGGACAAACGTAATTACAAATTGTAAACGAAGGTGGGGTTTTTGGGCGTTCGTTTGTAACATGATGTGAAATTAAATCCGTGTTATTCACCACGTATAAAGTATCGATGCAGCCACGAAGCTTATGCTCAATTAAAGTTCACGATATTCGAGCTTTATTTCATCCTGCTAGCTAAATTTTCACAAAAAAAAAAAAAAATAAGTAAATAATTCCAAATTGTCAAAAAGTGTTTTTTTTTTATATTATATGAATTTTCCAGAGAATCTGAATTTATCACACAAGAATTTGATATTTTCCTTCTTTTTTTTTTTTTTTTTTTTTTTTCTTTTTTTTTGAAACGATTACAATAGTAATTACTGTCGTTATTGCTTTCTCACCAAGAATTTCGAGTTTTCTGCAAACAGAAGTTGCAAACGCCGAAAGGATGAAATTTACGTTGCATACGTGAGCCCGAGTATATTTACTTGAAGCTTCTCGTTTCATCCACGTCGAGTTCTTTTGTTCGCCACTTTAATGAGAAGAGCGAAAGAACGTTAAAAAATGTCCATAAAAAATATATATTCTCCACTCTCATTAATCAATTTAATTAAATCGTGTACTTAAATGTTGATTTATTTATTTATTTTTTTTTTTTTTAATTTTTTTAATTTCAAAGAATACGCAAATTAGATTTTGAAGTTTTTATATTTTATATACCTTTTGGATAAATGTAGCAGCTCCTTGTTAAAGTTACTATTGTAATTATCGGCAGTAGATGAAAAATCATGTTTTTGTAAAACTTATTTTTTTTCCTGAAAAGATGAAATTAATTTTTTTTTTCAATTTTTCCATTTGTAATAAAAATGTAAAATTTTTACGATGGAGGCTTATAAAAACGATTTTTTTGATGAAAAAAAAAAAAAAAAAAATTACTGATATTAACACTACTTTTTTTCGGAGAATCTGCGCCATACGGATATCGAATGTCTATTTCCGATTGTGCCCACATTTAGTAGGTATAAAGGACCTCATAAATTATTTGTTCAATAAACGTAATTATTCCACTCTCCACACGTGGCGCGTGATTAACAGTAATTTCTTTCCCATCAATTACACCGCGACGTTATGAATGATTTACAGCTATTTGATACTCATATTTCTCATTTTCAATATCAATAATTATCTCTGTAAAAAAAAAGGGGGGGGGGGTTTCAATTTCTTTCTTAAATAAAAACTATTTTCTTAAAGGTATAAAAATACAGAATTTAATTAAAAAATTTTCATGTTTTGAAAATATGAAGAGAAAATTATTTTTTGAAAATTATAGAAATTTTTCTATGAACTAGTAAATTTTATACTTCAACTGATTTATAAATTTGAAACAATTTAGAGTGACGCAGGTTAGACAAGTTAGCATGTTTAGTAGTTAGGTGAAGCACGAGTGAAATACAGGACAAATGGTTACATCAGACGAAAGAATAATTAGTAGCTGACAAGAACGTGAAGCTGAGGCTAACCACCCTTAGGGGACACGAGGTCAGTTGCAACGTAGATTAGTGGCCAGGAGTTACACTGTTAAAAGACCACCTTGTCTAAAATAATGATCGCATCTTTCTTCCACCACATGAAGTAAAAAACAAATTAATTAAATTAATCAAAAAATTCCTTTTTTTCGCGAATTAATAAGATTCCCTTTTTTTGGAATTAATAAAAAAAAATTACTTTTTTTAAGATAAAATCCCTTTTTTGCGAATTAATAGAATTCTTCATTTTACGAAATAATAAAATTCCTTTTTTTAAGCGAATTAATAAAATCTCCTTTTTTAGGAATTAATAAAATTTCTTTTTTTTCCAAATTAGGTAATAAAAGCCCTTTTTCGCGAATTAATAAAAAAATTTTTTTTTTGGCGAATTAGGTAATAAAATACCTTATTCGTGAATAATTAAAATTTCTTTTCTTTTAATTAGGTAATAAAAGCCCTTATTCGCGAATTAATAAAGTTGTCTTTCTTTGTCGAATTAGGTATTAAAAACTTTTTATTCGCGAATTCATAAAATTCCATCTTATGACGAATTAGGAAATAAAATTCCCTTTTTAAGAAAACAATAAAATTCCTTTTTTCAAATTAATAAAAATTTTTTTTTGTCGAATTATGTAACAAAATTCCTTATTCGCGAATTGATATAAAATTTCTTTTTTTTTGTCGAATTAGGTAATAAAAATTCCTTTTATTTGTCGAATTGAGTAATAAATTTTCATATTTTTTGTCGAATTTATAAAATTCCTTTTCATAGAAATTAATACGAATTAGGTAATAAAATTCCTTTATTTTTCAAATTGGGTAATAAAATTTTCTTTCTTTAATGAATTAATACAGTCCCTTATTCGCAAATTAATAAAGTTGTTTTTCTTTGTCGAATTAGGTATTAAAAATTTCTTATTCGCGAATTAATAAAATTCCATCTTATGACGAATTAGGTAATAAAATTCCTTTTTTTAAAAAACAACAAAATACCTTTTAGTAAATTAATAAACAAAAATTTTTTGGCAAATTATGTAACAAAATTCCTTATTCGCGAATTGATACAAAATTCCTTTCGTTTGTCGAATTAGGTAATAAAAATTCCTTATTCGCGAATTAATAAAATTCCATCTTATGACGAATTAGGTAATAAAATTCCTTTTTTTAAAAAACAACAAAATACCTTTTAGTAAATTAATAAAAAAATTTTTTTTGGCGAATTATGTAACAAAATTCCTTATTCGCAAATTGATAAAATTCCTTTCTTTTGTCGAATTAGGTAATTATATCCGTTATTCGCGAATTAATAAAATTTTCTTTCTTTCTCGAATTTGGTAATAAAATTTCTTATTCGCGAATTAATAAAATTTCTTCTTTTGTTGAATTTGGTAATAAATTTTCATTTATTTTCGAATTTATAACATTCCTTTTCATAGGAATTAATATGAATTAGGTAATAAAATTCCCTTTTTTCGTCAAATTAATAAAATTTCTTAATTTGTAGAATCAACCTAAAAAATCCCTTTTCTTGACGAATTAATAAAATTCTTAGCCAATTAAACAAAATTCCATTTTTTGATTTATTAACAAAATCCCATTTTTTTTTTGGCGAATTAATGAAATTCCCTTTCTTTTTTTTTTTTTGCTTTTTGAGCGAATCATTCGAATTTTTTTTTTTCAAACAGTTAACTAATTCGAATATCGAAAAGTCATAAATATTTTTTGAAAGTTAAATGATCCTTCATGTGCAGTTACGTAGATATAAATGAAATTTATCAAATATGTTTTCATTGACGATCAATCTCCATTAATTAACGCTATTGTACAATGTATAGATCATATGTTGTTGGTAGTATATATATATACAAACATATATATATATATATATACGTATTCGTCGGTTGAAAATTAAACGATGCCTCGTTCACCGCAGAAATGTCTACTAATTACACAGCAGCATGCCTTGCATCTGAACATGACATAAACATAACCTTCCACATAAGAGTATTCTTCATTTTGTGATCATTTTAGTAAAAAGGTTTATCATAAATCATTAAAAATTATTATTATTATAAACTAAAAAAAAAATATCTTTTTTATAGTGGCACTTATTTGCACAAGTAGATGTCCAGCTGTTGTGCGTGTGTCATTTAACTAAAAGAGAGAGAGAGAGAGAGAGAGAGAGAGAGAGAGAGAGAGAGAGAATTTAATGCTTTTCAATATAATCAAAGAACTTTTATTTTTTGCCGCATAAAAATAAAATCAGCTCGCTATTTTTGATAAATATAAACTGTCAAGGTAGATAAATGAATATTTGATTTTGACATTTTTTTCATATATAAAAAATTTATAAGGGACAAAATATTTTAATATTTTTGCAATTGATGATTTTTTGGGGGGGTTGGAGGAGGAATAATTTTTTTTCTCTCCACCATTTTTTTTTTTTCCATGATAGTTCTTTCTCTCTTGTGAACAGACCAGGCTCTAGTTCCAACTGGTGCGATATCATAATTAATAATCCATTTTCCCGGTTTTTGCCAGCGCACCTGACTGTCGCGACGCCGCGCCAAGCACTGCTTTTGGGTTATAATTTATTATCGCTGGCCAACTGTACACTGCATAACTGTTTCCACAACGTTTTTCTTTTTTTTCTTTTTTTTTTTTCGTAATCCACTTGAAATTTCTGTCCGACGAATTGGTGCTCAAAAAAAAAAATAAAATAAATTCCTTCCCTTTCAAAAAAAAAAAATTGTAAAATAAAAAAAGTGTGAAAAAAAATTTATTTTTAAATAAATCTATTTTTTGGGGTAAATATATTATTTTTGCCATCATTTTTTGTAATAATTATTTATTTTCAAATAATAAAATAAATATTTTTGTGGTTCAAGTAAATATATTTATTTCGATTATTTGAATCAAAATAATTTTTTTTTACAAAAAATTTGAATATACCGAGTTTTTTTGTAAATAGAAAAATTAAATTATTTACGAAAAAAAAATCACAGTTAACCAAACAAAAAAAAAAAAACGGCCAAATATTTATTTTAGTGAATCAGCTTGGTTAAATCAGTGCATT